CACAGAGCACCGCTGCATAGTAGAGGCATTGCATTTCCATGGTCGGACCTCCAGATTGACTGGGTCGGACCACTCACTAAGACCTCTAGAGGAAATAAATATTTTCTCACGGTAACCTGCGCGTTTACCAAATGGGTAGAATGTCTACCAGCCCCTAATGACACAGCACAAACCACTGCTATGTTATTAATGAATCATGTATTCTCAAGGTTTGGACTTCCCCCTCAGGGTGAACTCGGACCAAGGTACACACTTCACAGGTGAAGTAATGAAGGACCTGTGGAAGACGCTAGGTGTCAAAGCCAACTTCCATATTGGCTACCACCCACAGGCTTCAGGCCAGGTTGAGAGAGCAAACAGGACTGTGGTGAGTATTCTGAAAAAATACGTAGCCGCAAACCACAAGGACTGGGACGTGAAACTCCCTCTGGTCCTCATGGCCATAAGGGCCACTCCACACACGTCGACTGGCATCTCTCCTTTCGAGATGATGACGGGTCGACAAATGACTCTCCCTCTACACCTGTTGTACCAACCAGGCGATGCTGCCATGGCAACAGCCTACACTACACAACAATACATGAAAGACTTGGAAAAACACCTTAAAAACACTTTTGCTTTCGCACAGAAAAACCTGGAAAAATCAGCTGACGGAGGCAAAGCGTACTACGACCAAAAGGCCTCTCACGAGGAACTCCAAGTGGGAGACAGGGTCTGGTACTACACGTTTGCCCCCACAACTGGGAGAAGAGAGTCCGGGACCGGAACTCTCGCCCGTAAACTGATGCCCAGATGGACTGGACCCCATCTGATAACCGACAAACTGTCTCCAGTTGTCTATCAGATAAAAATCAGTAAAGGCCAAAAAGAGCCAACTGTTAAATGGGTACATCGTAACCAGGTTAAACCACACAAGGCGTGCAATAACTCCTCAGGAGACAAAGATCTCACAAAATCTGACCTCGTGGGAATAAGGGTCATCCAAGCAGAAGATAACTAATGGATAATAAACTTAACCATAGTTTAAACTTGCGGGTCCTACCCCCGACAATTAAGAAGCTAAGACCTATCTCTTTGTGTTTCCATAGGACAATGATGGTACCTCTCCTGGTAATCTTCACCCTCTTGGGTGCCACCCAAGAAGGGCAAGCCGAGATCGTAACCCTTGGGCCCACCTCAGGCATCGCTCTGCGGGACCAGCCGGGACTGCTCATCACAGATTGCCGCCTATACACTCGAAAGGTCTTTGTCCGCTTCGACCCCCAAACCGTGATCCAACAACACATTAACATTAAAAATGAGTGGTTAAACAAACCATGGTACACAGTATCCCTAGAGGGTGCTAAAGCAGAGATCCAACACGTCCTGAAGCAACTACATAAGTTCACCTACACCAACAAGAGTTGGGTGGAACACATAGAAGGCAAAAGCGCGACATCGGCGGGCTTTTACTCGCTGCTTCCTCACTCGGATCGCTGTTTAGCCTGGGTTTGTCCGCATACAACACTGTCAGTATAACGTCCCTAAAACAACACGTGTATGAAGTAGAGAGCGAGGTCCCAAAGATCCGAGCGCAAATGGACCTTCAACTAACACAATTGACACAGGTGACTAAAACCGTAAAGGATACTGTTCTAGTGCTGAATACTCACACCCAAGAAATCAAAGCCCTCGTACATGCGGTAAATGAGTTAGCCCTTAAGGTTGAAGTGGATTACGCTGTCGCACACCTAATGGATAGGATTTTTGCTGACATGCTTAGAGATATCAGTTCGTCGGTAGATACACTAGCCACCGGTAGGATCCCACCGTATCTAGTCTCTCTACAGATGGTGAACGACATCCTCAGCTGCGCTACGCGCGAAAGAGTCACGCAAATACAGGCTCACCTGGCTTACACTCTCGGTAGCGCAATCCCAATCTACGTCAATCACAAAACGTTTGAAATGGCGTTCATTATCAACCTACCGATAATTCCCTCAAATGGCATATACAGACTCAGGGACGTTGTTAATGTTGGCAATTGGCACGGTGAAAACCATGTTCAAATTGACACACCAAGGATGGTTGCGTACCACGACGATAACCCCTCAGTTTATCTAGCTCCAAACCTTCAGATGTGTGTACTCACTCGGGAGATACATTATCTGTGCGCGAGTAAGCCGTTTGTGTGGAATCAAACCACGGGCTTATGCGGGTTGACACCTATTCCGAAAAATTCTAAGTGCTCAACGACCGTAACGCCTCGACACCTGGCTAAAGCTGCAAAAGCAGAAATAATTGGCTCACGTTGGCTAGTGAACGCTCCTCAAAGAAAGGCGATCATAGCCTACGATCAACCTGGAGCAAATAGACCTTTGACGTTACCGGACAAAACAATGTGGATCAGTGTTCCCCAGGGAACAACCATACACATTGATGATTTGACGCTCTATCACCTCGATCCGGAACAATGGGACGCGACTCTGGATGACTCAGAGTACCTGGTGAACATGTCTATAGACATAGATCCAGAAACTCTGGGAAGGATCCGTTTTGAAGGCACCCAAGTCGTCGACGTGGAACCAATAAACCGAGTTCTCAAGTCCCTCAGGTCCACAATTAAGAACCCGATCCAACCAATTACCTATGCGTGGTCAAGCGCGGACACGTTAATCATAGCCCTGCTCATGACGATAACCCTCGTATTGTGTGGGATACTCGCATCCCTGTTCCGGGGCCACACGTCACTCCGAGTCGACCTGAATCGCCATGCAGCGCACCTCGATATGATTATGTCTCGCGTATGCGGGTTTGCAAAGAAGCCACTCACACGGGACAGCGTGACTGAATCTGACAACCAGGGTGAGGTGAAGCAGTGAAACGATGTTTTTAGTTGCTTAGTCACTACTCTTGTCGGTGTTGAAACGTTGTTGAATTGGTTTTGGTTGTTTCTGAGGTAAGAATGAATCTTGTGTGTAAGTCAAGTTAGAGACTAACCTTTAACCATGCCAACATGCAGTTCATTCGCTAAATTGCAATCTTTGCGGAGTCAATGTATATTATTGCTACCTTAAGTACCATAATCTACATTGATCTCACAACGCTTAAGCCGAACCTACTCGAACAATTCTATTCGGGGGGATAGCTAATTCTTTTTGATGAGTCTCGCCATAGACTTCCAAAACAGTTATGGGGAAACCAAACACCCAATCTCAAGTCGTTCGTCTAAAAGACAACAGACAATTGAACCAAACTATATTTTACCATGTAAAGCTAACTTAAACCAAGTTAGAAATGGAAAAATAGTTTGGGCCCCTTTTCTATAGGAATAAACCCCTGTAGTTACCCTTTTTCAGCATGTTCCACCCCTTAACTGGTAGTTGTAGCTGTTCCCAACCATAATAGCTTACACACCAGGTGCATATAGGTTAAGGCCTTATGTAAAATCCCCTTCTTAAGCCCACCTTAAACCACATAATTGCATGTCACATTTGAACCAGAACGGCACAGACTGGAAATCCACCCAGCGACGACCTTCGCTGGAGGAGACCTGCAATCCTGACGTTGGTCTCCAATCTTCATCCAGTGGCTGCATCTTCGGTTCAATCCAAGGGAACCCCTAAGTATGCTGATCAATCAACACTTCCAATCGTTGTGGATTTACCGTTGGGGATTATATGACTTTTCCAATGGATTACAGACTCTGTTTCCAAGGGGTTAAAGCATTGCTACAATGGAATTACCGACGACGTTATGGAATTATAATCAACACAGTGGAATTACCAAGAACATTGTGGAATTACCTTTGACTTTGTTTTCCTTGCTGGATTACTTTTGACTTTTGTTTTCCTTGCTGGATTACTTTTGACTTTTGTTTTCCTTGCTGGATTACTTTTGACTTCTGTCTTCCTTGCTGGATTACATCAAGCTCAAAGACATTTGAAGGCGTAAGTTCATGTTTGGAATTCATCCCCATGGACAGGCGATGATTTCCAAAGGGGGGACTGTAGTGAACTTGACCTGATGTCAAAACTAAGCTTAAGGTCAAAACCCTTGACCTTAAGAACCTTGTGGGACAGAAACTGTCATTTCATTGATTTGAATCCAGAAATACAGGTTCACCCATCTTGAGACTTTCTTTCTTGAAAATCAAGTGAAAGAACACTCTCTTTTTTATTATCATTACTATTTTACAAATGTTGATAACCAAAGTGTTTTAGTTCAAACCATTTTAGATGTTGCAGTGAACTAATCAATTTTATTAACTGTAAAACAGTA